TTTGAGGTGTGTTCTCTTCCCCTATGTGGATCATGTGATCCTTGTATGTTCAGGTGAGTGATTTGTAGGTCTCACCTGTGCTTGCAGTGACAGCAGGTTTATTCACTGTTTTTTGATGAAAGTGTAATTGTTTGCCCTAGAGGAGGGGCGCTTGATGTTTGTAGAGGCTATCCAGACCTTTGTTGATCTTGGTTGTTATTTTTTGGCTTCTGAACCAGTCCAGAAGTGTTCTATTTCCTGTTTAGTGTTTGGACAGTGGTGAATATTTTTTTTATGCTGTTGTATAAGGCTGAGTGGTGTGGTAATTGTTTCCACCTTCTTGTGCCTGCTGTGTTGCTGAACTGTAACAACAGTCCTTTTTAATATGTCTTCTAAGGATTCAGCCACTTTCGGTGTGTCTACTAGCCATGGTAGAGTGAGTGGGGGATTTGGTATGAACTTTCCTATGGTTGTGGTTCCCTTAGATGGACTAAACTACCTAGAATGGTCGAAGGGAATTAATTTTACATAACTGCAAGGGAAAAATTGGCTACATAAATGGAAGAATTAAGGAGCCGAAGTTTAAGAGTGTAGAACATGATAAGTGGAATCAGGAAAATAGTATACTGATGTCATAGCTCTTAGTCTCCATGTTGCCACAAGTGAGGAAAAGTTTTGTGGGCAGAGAGCTTGTGAAATTTGGGAGCAAGCAAAATTCACATATTTTGAACAAAGGCATTATGCAAAAATCTACCAACTACAAGTTGAATCTTCTACTTGTAGATAGGGGGAGCGGAGCCTTTCAGCTTATTGCTCAGATTTAACATCTATCTAGTGGGAGTTGGATCACTACCTGAATATGGATTGGAAATGTGATGTAGATGCCAAGACCTATAAGTGTCTGGTTCCACAACAACGAGTGTTTGTCTTCCTTTTGGGACTAAATCCTATGTATGAATCCATCAAGGTGCAGATTTTAGGAAGTAAAGATCTTCCTTTTAGTTCAAGTAGTGTATGCCTTGGTGCAATCAGAAGAGAGTAGGAGAAATGTGATGAATTCTTTTGAGGGGGAGCCAGATGCTTTGGTAGTTAGGGGAGGTGCAAATGCAAGCAATGGAAGTTCTGTTAAGAGGGGAGATTTCTAGAAGAAAGTGTATGACAAAGATAAACTTTGGTGTACCCATTGTCAACGATCTAAGCATATTAGGGACACTTGTTGGGATCTCCACGGGAAGCCTTAGTGGGCTCAGGAGATAAGTAAGAAACCAGAACAAAACAAAAAACATGGCCTCTCAGGAGCATTAGTCTATTGGCTCCACCATGACTCGAGAATGTCCTTTTGGTTTTGATCTCAAGGAAGACATCATCAATTCATTCCATGACCAATTGGAAAATATACCACCAACATCATCATATTCACCAAGGGCGGATCCTATCCAATCAGGTACTCTTGTTCTCCTTGATGTGTCTGAACCCATTGCCATTGATTCTTCTACTATTGATGACCTAGATATCCCTATTTCTCAAAGAAAGGGAGTAAGGTCTTGCACCACTAAGCACCTTATTTCTCATTTTATTTCCTATGAGAATATTTCACCCTCTTTTCTTGCTTTTCTCTCTTCCATTGGTGGCATTCTTATTCCTAAGAATGTGGCAAAGCCTCTCTCAATACCTGAATGGACAAATGCAATGAAAGAAGAGATCAAGGTTGTGCACAAAAATGGTACATGGGAGTTGGTGGATCTTCCTGAAGGAATTGAACCCGTAAGGTGTAAGTGGGTGTTTACAATGAAGCATAGGACATATGGCACAGTGGAAAGGTATAAATCCTGGTTAGTGGCGAAAGGGCTCACTCAAATGTATGGAGTAGATTATGCAGAGACCTTTGCCTTGGTTGCTAAGATGAATTCTATTAGAGTCCTTTTTCTATGGCAGCTAACCTTGATTGGGATCTCCATTAATTGGATACAAAAAATTCTTTCTTGAATGGTGACCTTGAAGAAGAGGTGTATACGATGCAATCTCCAAGTTTTTGTGCGGTAGTGAACAAAAAGTGTGCAGGCCGAAGAAGACCTTGTATGGACTAAAACAATCACCAAGGGCTTGGTTCATCCATTTTCATGTAGCTTTGTAGCAGATTGCCTACAAATAGTGTCAGACGGATCGTGCATTATTTGTGAAAAGAAGAGAAGAAAAAATTGCATCCTTAATAGTCTATGTTGATGACATGGTGATCACTGGTGACTGGAAAACTGAACTTCAGAAACCAAAGGAATTACTAGCCTCTCAGTTTGAGTTGAAAGATCTAGGTCCCTTGCAATATTTCCTTGGAATTGAAGTTTCCCACTCACTAAAGGGAATCATCATTTCTCAAAGGAAATACATTCTAGATTTGTTACAAGATTCAGGAAAATTGGGGGTGAAACCGGCTGGCTCATTCTCCCATTGATCCAAACCACAGACTAAGTAATTGTGGTTGTGAGACTATTAAAGACGTGAAGCAATTCCAGAGACTTGTAGGGAAGCTCTTGTAACTGTCTATGACTTGACCAAACATTGCTTATGCCATGGGTGTTCTTAGCTAGTTAATGCCCTTCACACTTAGAAGTGGCCAAAAGAATTCTCAAGCATCTCAAGAAGTTTCAAGAAACAAAATGTTGTGGCTAAGTCCAATGTTGAAACTGAGTACAGAGCTATGTCTCATGGAGTGGCTGAGATTATGTGGATAAAAAATCTATTGGGTGAGCTAGGGTTTTCTATTGACAGTCCCATGTCCTTATTATTATGATAACAAGGCTTCCATCAGCATTACAACTAATCCAATACTTCATGATATAACTAAACACATCGAGGTGGACAAACATTTTATCAAGGAGAAACTTGTCAGTGGGGAAGTGTGTACTCCCTATGTTAGTTCTAAGCAGCAACTTGCAAACATTTTCACAAAGGGTCTATATCACTTGCGGCACAATGACTTATGTGACAAATTGGGCATGATTGACATCTATGTCCCAACTTGATGGAGAGTGTTAAATCTATTGCTAGTTTAAGCTTTAGTGTCATAGGGGCACTTTTGTAATTTTCCCTTTTATTTATATATTGGGTCGCCCCAGTATAAATACTAATGTTGGTGCTGCTAGCACAACCTTTTGAATCCTAAATCTTTGTTTTCTCTCTTCTCTTCTTCTTCCTCTCCTACTATTTTCTCCCAAGTTTACAAAATCTAAGAAGGCCACTTTTGAAAGGTGCATTGCCTGTGATAAGGTGCAAGGCAACCTAAGTGTGTGCCTTTAATAAGTTTTCTTTTTATCTATTTTAGTGTATATTATTATGTGTTTTACGCCTTTGTAATCTCTAAATAACCTTTTATTCTACTGATAAAAAAAACCTTTTATTCTTGTTTGTGCATTGGTAATGGTCTATTAATTTTCAGATCAAACAAAAAAAGTAGACAATAACTTACATATTTTGGCTTGAAAGCCTGAATTGACAAGTAAAGATAGATAGAAAAATTTCCACTTGTAAGGCAGTGGTGATGATAGTCTTGGCTCTGAAGTTGAGAAGAAGAAGGAAATAATGAGAGGGAATTAGGGTTTTGCTCAGGAATGCTGAAAGGATGAATGAAAAAGATCCCTCCACTTCGAAGGGGAAGGGTCTTTATTTATAGACAAAGGAGAGTGCTTATACATGCATGGAATGAAGAATTCCAAAATTTTCCTAAGGTGGTTAAACTTAGATCTCTAGGCTGATTTGATGGGGACACACATCGGAACATAAAGTGGGGACCCACTACCAGCCTGTGCAGACTGTCCGCTGCCGTTATCACCCTTTCACGATCCTACCATGCATCACATCCGGGTAACATTTTTGCAGGGCGCACATGTTGTACAAAGCTCCTTGCTTTTATGTCCACAGGTTTTCTTTCTGTGGATTTATGTGAGTAAGCATGTTAAATTTTATAGTGTTCTATGAGATTGTACTGCGGCTGGAAAAGTTAGGTTTTTTATTTGTATTCTGCGGTGAGTAACCACGGCTGACTTGTGATGCTACAACAAAAGTACAATTGATCTCTGTTCTACTTAGTTTAATGAAAGAGGTAGAAAGAGATGGAAACAAATTCCCTTTGGATGAAGTTACTTTTAGTAAATAAAGAGGTAGAAACAAATTCTGGTAGTAGAAAAAGAAATTCAAGTTAGCAAAGAGTTGGTTTTGTTCTTGGGTGGTGAAGTATTTGCAAGGAAGTATTTTTGGAATTAGAAGAAAGAGATAAAGATGGAAAATCATCAATTTCATTTGATGATTGATATTATTTCATTCAAGTAGGGGTTGAGAGGAGCTGAAGTTTCAGATGGTCTAAGTTCCATGCTAGAGAGAGTATGTTATCTAAATGAGAAGTGGATGTAAGATGAGGATTGGAGGAAAATAGGTAAAAGAGGGGAGCTTTATAGTTGATACTCTGAGGTGAACATTATTGTGAGACATTGATGGATGGGGTTGTGTAGGTAAGAACTGGTGGTTTTTATTTGTTTGTGGTATATGGTTTTTGGTCACGGTCTATGTTTTCTTCAATGTATGATGATTTAAAAGAGCAAAGTGTGTCACTGTTGTCTGTGTTGGTGAATATTGTTCTTAGTTTTTAAATGCGATTATGTTGTTTTGGGGGAGAGGATGATAAGATATCACTTTTTCTTACTTCCTGGGTGATTCCTTATCATCTATTCTTGTGTTCTCCTTTCTTTATCAAAGGTTTTTTTCTTTGTCATAAAGGAAAAATAAAAGAATGGTTGGATTTTAGCCAATTGATGACACCACGTTGATCCAATATGCATTATAATGCATTTTATAGAGAATCTCTTTTGAATTACAGTTATAACATCTATTTCATATCCTTGGACTAAATAATATCACATATGACATAAACAACCATATATACTTTGTCATTTACACGTATGTAAGCACTGTTAGGTGGAAGTTTCTATCCTCTTCAAAATTTATGGTTGTTTGGATGTTGTCTTGTTCAGCCTCATTGCCCGTGCCCGGAGGACTGTACATGGGTCAGCAGATGATATTGGATGGCTACAACATGCATCAGAAATGCCCCCAGTTGAAGATGGGACACAGAGATTCATGGAATTGCTTGACAATATCAGGTGTTCCTATACAATTATACTTCACCCTTTTTCAGGAAACAAAAAAATCAGCTTTCCTATAGCATCATGCTAGTCTTTTATGTATTGGGCTGCATAACATGGTTGTGTAATTTGGTTTTCCAACCACTAAATTCAATTGCCTCTCCATCTGTCAGGCATGGTGTTCACACATTGCCAAACTCAATGATTTACTTGCTGGTTCCAGGTATCTATACAATTTCATCACTAAAGGTTAATACTTGTTAGAGAAGTAAAATAGGAAGAAACTACTATGTTTTTTTTTTTTACTGTTTGCCTGCTCACAGATGGAACACATCCAGGGAGGTTAGGGGTTACCCTGGATGTGCCCTAATAGAAAATAACTGGCATAACTAAATGAGTATTACCAGTTTAACTAAAGGCATTTTCTTCCTATTATGGGTAAAGGTGTTGTATGTATTATGTTCTTAAAAGAGGTGGTAAACCATGTCATAACTAAAGCTTTACATGGTTAAAGAGTGAAGAACCATTTAAAAGAGTCATACAGATCGAACTTTATCCCTTTGAAATCTTTGAGGATGCTCTCATGCACTATAAAAGCTGTCTCTCAGTCTTCCCAGGCTGTATTGGGAATTTGGGATGCTTTTGAAGAATTAATTCTGATTTCTTTTTGATAGGTAACAAGAAACTTCTATTGGAAAAAGAATATGTGCAACAGAAGAGTAGACAAGCTACCAGCAGTAGCTAGTCTAGTCAAACACTTTTACATTGTTTCCCAAAACCTATTCATCCCTTGTCTGGCTAGAGAATTGGGTAGTCCATTTTCCAATCTTTGAATCCAGGTGAATCTTGTGTTCAGATTTCTTGAGAGCCGCCTGATTTGCCTCAGCATTTGTCTGAACCACCATGAGCTGAGCCTGCTAGTTTGCAACCATCTTAATAGTTCTTGAATCACCTAATGCATGGAGGTTTGTGATGCCGAGAGACCTGCTTTATCTTGGTTTACAAAAATTGTTGAAACTAATTCTTTTTTTTTTTTTGGGGGGGGCTCAAAACTCAAGTCTAAGATTTGATTCTTTGAAGCTAAAATGTTAATCTCTAATCATTTTTGGCTTAAAACTCATCTTCAAATAAAGATTCTTTAGAGCAGAATTTTAACTGAGCATAGCCTCAATAACTACGTATATAGTGGTAAGTTTTTCTATCAAAAACTCAACTATTTCTCTCATTCCAAGTATTCCAACACAATGTGAAGGGCCACCGCTTCCAGAGGATGGTTCTACAGGACTAAAACCTCTAACTGGCCATGAGGATATCAACATAGAAAGGTTCTTAGGAGTTACCAAAGTTGATAGAGAAGGGCTATAAGTATGAACAGACATGTAGGAAATTTTGCAGTGGATTAATAAATGCCGAACCAACTCCACCAATACTGCATATGGCACACATGCATTGTCAAGAACCCTTATTCTAGAGATGAGATGATTAGTTGTCAAAACTCAAGAACTTATCATCTGCTGCTAAGGAGACCATTGCATGGTGCAATGGTAAACCCTGGAACTTACAAGCATGAGAATATGGGTTTCAGTCTGAGAGCAGTCACTTCATGCAAGAAAATGCAGGTGGTTTAGTTCATATCCAGTCCACCGCTCCCATGAGTATCTTTGTTTATAAGTGATGAAAATATCATTAAAGACACTAAAAGGTATTACAATAACAGCATCCAAACAGAGGCATGAGATGCAGCTCCCATTCTAAAATCAGAATTACAATTGAGCCAAAAACAGTTCAGACTTATGCACCCCTGGTTTTGTAAAAAAAAAAAACAGCTATCCCATTGAACAGTAATTGTCATATCTCTAATTAACCATTTAAATCTTTTCATTGATTCCCTATATTCCAAACCACTGTTTCTGGCTCCTTCAGCCACCCTACTACCAGTTTAGGGTCACCCTCAATTACCACTCTGTCATAATTTAAGTGTCTAGCAATTTGTACTCCTTGCAAGACTACTTTGAACTCAGGGTCCCAAGACCCCCATTCCAGGACCAGAATTGGTTAATGGCCCTTTTTTACCTACCAACTACCACAATTCACATAAAGGATACCATGGAGGGAATATGAGCCTCTCCAAACCCATTTCCATGGGAATGTCCCAGTAAAGTGCAAATGGCAACTCTCTTATCATATCAGTTTTTGATGGGAGAAATCAAGATGGTTTGGATAATCAAGTGGTTGGATACTGATACAGCTGGTTTCCTCCTGACTTTCATATCCCCCTGCATGAGTGGTGATGAACTCAACTTTTATTTAAACTGGTTTGCTTATGATGTTTCCATGTTTTCTGATTTGGCAGGTCTTTTTAGTAACCATGGCCCGCTTTATTTTGTGAGTACAAAATTGTGCTTCTCAAAAATGGGTCTTGCATGCCATATTGCCAAGATTCACAGTGAGGTAGGTGTTTCAATTGTAAGTTGTACTTTTTAAATTCCTCTTGTTAGGTTATTTTTCTTTAATATTTTGGCATTTACATTCAGGCTTCAGTGGAGAAAAATGCTAGAGAAATAAAAGAGTACATTGAGGAAATTTATTGGGGCTCCAAGAAGCGTGTGTTGCTTCTTGGACATAGCAAAGGTGGAGTGGATGCAGCAGCTGCATTGTCTATGTATTGGTCTGATTTGAAAGACAAAGTTGCTGGGTTGGTTTTAGCACAAAGCCCATATGGAGGTAGCCCAATCGCATCAGATATCATGCGGGAAGGGCAGCTTGGTGATTATGTCAAATTAAGAAAACTCATGGAGATCTTGATCTGTAAAGTGATTAAGGTATATGCCTTTCTTCTTTTTAAGGCTAATATCTTTTTTCTTTGTTTTATTTTTGAATTATTTGATGCATTTGTTCATGGGCATTGCTTTCTTATTGTAGATTTATTTTCTATTCTCTACTAAGGTGCCATTTGGCAAGTTTTTTGAGAAAGATCTTCCAACAGCTTAAATGGCCAAAAGATGTAATGAGCTTTTGGGGTCTTGTCTTTAAATCCATGATCTACAGAGCTGTTAAATGAAAGATTTTAGGTGCAGAAAGACAGGAAGCTTGATTTGAAGCTTTTAGATTTTTGGCCATTTGGGCTTCCATGAGCTTTTTAGGGCATAGGTCTTTCTGGCTTCCTGTCTTTCATTGCCAAACAGAGAGGCCTTCCATGCTTTGAAAAGCCCGAAAAACCACACGAAAAGACTTGTCAAACACCTCTTAAGTGTGCTCAAGTAGATAAAGTATTGCTCTGCATCTTTATTTTCTTCTCTATTGGATGATCATACTGAACTTTACATCTTTGATGAATTTATGCCACTAAGAAATTAAACTTTGTTAAACTTTTAACCCAAAATGTTCAACAATTTATGTCTAAAAATCTGGACTAGCAATAACAATGGTAAAAAACTAAAAATTTGAAATTGTAAATGTTAAGAGTCGGGAATAGAATTCGTTTGAAATTGTAAATGTTAAGAGTTGGGGATAGAATTCGACTATGATACCGGAAAGACATCATTATCGGATAAACTTACAGCCAACCAACTGGTATCATAAAAGAGATGTCCAATCAGGTGGTATTCATCAAATTCACAGGGGTGCTTTGATTGGTCAAATCTCTTCTGGTATCATAGATTTTCCTTAAAATTAATTAGACTTGTTTTAGGTGAAGAAATTATTTATACAAGTACTACTTTATACGCCTCAATTAGGTTAGGAAGAAAACATTAAGAGGCAATTTTTGGAAAACATAGATAGACTAATTCAAGAAATTTCCAAATTGAAAGAAGATTTTTTATAGGAGATGGGCATGTGGGGAGGGAAGTAGAAGATTTGATAGAGTGCACATTGGGGATTTAGTTTGAGAGATGAAATAGGAGATACATTTTACAATTCGTAACAGCTTATGATATGGCAATAATAAACACATGCTTTATAAAAGGATGAACCATTTAAGTAATGTTTAAAAAAGCATCCTCAAGTCAAATAGATTACTTTTTCCTTGCTAGGAGAATAGAATGAATGATGTTTAAGTACCACAAAGTTATTCTAAGGGAAAGCTGAAGCATAGAACATAGACTAATGGTGGTTTTTTTTTCTTTTGGGAGGGGGGGGGGAGAAATTAATGGTGGTAGATTTGTGCATTAAAATATGGAGAAAAGAAAACAAAAGAAAATAGGCATCCAAGAATTAGATGGGCAAATCTAAAAGGAGAAAAACTAAAATAATTTAAAAACAAACTAATAGTAAGGAAAAAAAGGAAATAGAATTTAGATGAAGAGACAACATGTGTAGGAGTGACTCTGGGCTAGGCCAGGCTTTGGGCCTATGACATCAAATAATAAAAACGTAAATATTTATAATATTTTAAATTATAAAATGTATAGTATATGTATAGAAGTGTTTTGTGGGATCTTGCTTTGAACTACTTTATTCCAACCCAACACTCATGGGTTGCCTATTGTTAAACAGAATAGTTTTCAAGGCACTAAGGCGAGGCTAGGCGACAGGGGGGTGCCTAGTCGCCTTGGCGATGAATTTTTTGTAAGTAAAAACATGTATCCTAGGGTAGTTCCCTAGATTCCATAATCATATTTCCTTAATAAATATCCATAATTTTCATAAGTATAAACTTCATGTTAAAGTATAGAAAATCAACATATTCCAACATATTCATGAGAAGAAAAAGAAGGAAAAGAAAGTCCAAAAAATGTAGGGGTTGAACCCCTATTTCTGTTATAGGAAATGAAGAAAAGAAAAGGTGGAAGAAGAAGTCTCTGAGGGTTCAATACAGCATTTAGCAATGTTTGTGTTGATTAAACCCTAACAAATAAGAAAATAACAAAAAGAAATTAGTGTATAAACACACAAAATGAATATTTTAGTTTAAAAATGTCTTTTATAATTATAACCTCAAAAAATTAAGAATATAAAAGTTTGTTATAATGCGCTATAGAAAACTACTTGGCGATTAGGCGAGGCAAGACTCCAAGGGCACCTTGTCACCTAGGTGTCGCCTTGACAACTATGTTAAATAGATGAGTAAAAAACCTTCATTTTCATAATTAGTTGATGTGGGATCTTGAATGTCAACTTGCACGCCCAACTATTTAAACTTGGCTTGTTCATTTAAGGTCCCACATTGACTAAGTACGGAAAGGAAGACTTTGCATTCATTTATATGAGAATATTTAACCAAAGAAAATAAGTTATGCACTCTTACATTTATATAAAACTAGCAGAAGTGCACGTGCTACGCACGTGTATTAGTAGTAAAAGTTATTTAATATGAAAAATAATTTCTTAAAATAAAATCAAGAAAATAATCACAATACGAAAAATTAGATTTTTTTTCATAACCCTAACGTACATAGATTATTACAACTTTGAAGAATAATTGATTATATGATAATTATTTTCATAACCAACTTTTGTTAGTTGGGTAAACATTATTTGTCTTTTACTTTTTACTTTATCATAGAGTTTTCTCTTGGTAGCTACAAAGGTATAAATGGAGTCAGTTGAGAATAAATAAGAAAAACAATATATAAAATAAGAAAATAAAAATGTTGTTTCTTTAGGAAATTAACAATATAGTGACGATTATTAGGGATGGCAATTTTCCCTCCCGATGGGGATCCCCTACTTGTATATGTATATATGTATGCATGTATCTATATATGTTAATATTTTTGTATATTAATATTTTTAAAAATATAGGTGGATATGTTTGAAGATATTTGGATCTTTTTTAATAGGAGATTGTAAATTTTAACTATTTTATTTTAATTTTTTAAAAGAAATAAAAAAACAAAAAACAAATGATTGACATCATAGAAAAATCATGGGGAGTGAGGATCCCTATGGGGATGAGGATGGGATAACCTTGTCCCCGCCATTGGGGACAAGGATTGGGATTTCTGCAGGGACGGGGATAGGAGTGGCTCCCTGTCCCCGCTCCACCCCATTGCCATTCCTAACAATCATCCGTCATCACCCTCTTTCTCTAGAAATTAGCAAAACATTATTTTTCTTCTTATAGTCATAAGTCATTTAGATCAGAAGTTGTCAACATTAATTAATGCCAAGCTTGCCATGTATAAATTTTTATTATATAAAAAATAAAAATCAATAACAACACAATAAAAATTATTGAGAAAATCATAAAATAATCAACAAATGGCACTATCGCAAAGGGTATGGACGAAATAATAATTTGTTGACTTATCGATAGCCCTAAATATTGGGCTCGAGGAGAGAGTGTATTAATCGAGATGGTTCTGGGTCTAATTTTTATTAGTAAATTATTTCTAAATAAATAAATAATTTAGTAAATCAAATAAATAAGAGTTTATAGATAACAATGTATTTAGTTTAATAAAATAAACGAATAAAACTTTATTGGGACAAGACTAGTACAGGCTATCCCGAACCAGACCTAACCCTTTGACAGCCCTAAATATTGGGTTCTGGGGGAGAGTGGGGCAGGTAAATAAATAAATGATTCATTTAATTTAACAAAATAAATAAATAAAGTTTATTTATTACTAGGATGGGATTGGTACAAGCTATCCTGAACCAGACCCGACCTGTTTATAACTCTAAACATTGGGCTCTATGAGAGAGAGAGAGTATTAATCAGGATGGTTTTTTGTCTATTTTGCTAGGAATAATAATTTGTTAGTAAATTAGTTTTATATAAATAAATAATTTAGTACAGGCTATCTCAAACCAGCCCCGACCCATTGACAATCCTAAATATTGGGCAAGAGAGAGAGGAAAGAATCAAGTGAGAGAGAAGAAAGAGATGACTTTCATTGTTTTTGTTTTATATGATGACTTCCATTTAGAGTACACCAACTAATTGATGTTGGCTCAGTTGGTATGGTCTCTAGCTGGCTATAGCTGAGAGTTGGGCCCTCAATACCTAGAACTGAAGTGTCTCTAGCAGAATACCCTGTATATTGATTTAGGGAACCCACATCTAAATTCTTTATACTCAACTGTTGGAACTCCTTATGTTTTGTCAGTTTTAAAGTTTTATGCCATCTTGTAAAATTTGAGTATGTCACACAGCATGACACAAAAATACATGGATATACACATACAGGATGGTGACATGTTCAGAGAGTAGTGGGAGAGTTTCCTAACCAAGAGCATTGAGAGGGCAAGGCTAGGAAAAAGTTTCTAGATGATGATAAAATAGGGTTAAATGGGCTACAATCTCCGTGTCACCCCGTGTGTGCGCATGTGCGCGCCTGTACATGTATTTGTGGCGGAGTGGATATTATTGTAACAGGCTAGATTTCTTTTCTTTTTGTGCGTGTGTTTGGACTGAGGTCGAGGATAGACCCTCTCCGTCTGATCACATTAATAGGGAATCAGGAAACTTTAATATCGGATTTCATTTCCTCTTTGTATCACCAGATCAGGAAGTGGCATCTAATTTCTTCATTTCATTTATGTGCTGAAGGGTGACATACAGGCCCTAGAAGACTTGACATATGAGAAGAGAAAGGAATTCTTAAAAAAGTATCAACTGCCTCGAGAACTTTCTGTTGTTTCCTTCCATACAGAGGCTGCTATTACTCCTGGGGTTCTTGCCTCCTTGTCCTATGTTGCACATGCAGAGGTTCCCATGGTTGCACCCCTTACCTTGAGTCAGTCAGCAAAAGTTCCAGTGGTTATGCCCCTTGCTGCTGCAATGGCTGCATGTGCACAGCTACTTCAGGTCAGATACGGTGAGAAGAGTGATGGACTTGTCACGTGTCGTGATGCAGAAGTTCCTGGATCTGTTGTAGTCCGTCCCAAGCGTAAACTGGACCATGCTTGGATGGTTTATTCATCCATGAAAGATGATCCCTGTGAAGCCAATGCTTCTCAAGTTTGTGAGGCTCTTCTGACGTTGCTTGTGGAAATTGGTCAAGAAAGGAGACATGAGATTGCAATGAAAGATGAATGAGGGGCTTCTGCACTCAGCTTCAATTAAAACCCCTCATTTTTGTATGATCCCGATTCCAGTCTATCTTCTAACCCCATACCGACCCCCAAATATGAAAAATGGAAGGAAAGGAAGGAAATATTAACCGAAAGAAAAAATAAAAATGGAAAAGAAATGTTCCATGAGATTAATTGCCATTGCTTCACTTGTGTTGAGGTTGGGGATGAATGAATATTCTTATTCTGAAAGAAGGATTACACAGCTGTTACTCTATCCCTGTGCTGTCTCCTCTTATGAAATATATAAAGACATGCACGAAAGGACCCATACACGAGTGCGCCCTTCACGTGGGTCTTTCTGGTTCTCTTGTTCGGTAAACCTCTCTCTCGATCACATTGATCAAGCCAACTTAGTCAATTGTGTAAAAGTGAGTGATGATGATGATGGAACGATAATTAACTCTATTATGTTCATTTTGTATTTTTCCAAATTAAAGGATCTGCATGATGATGATGATGATGATAGAATTCACAAAAACTTTTGTGAGCTGGATACCCGCTGAGCGCTGATTGGTTATACTTGGAGTTGGAGGCTACAACTCTTTAGATTTTAGGTGGCATTGGGTGAATCTGAAAAGCACAAAAAAAAAATACTCTGAAATTAATGTGAAAAATGAAAATTTTGCTTTTCTACTTTTGCAGAGATGTCTGAATGTAGTGTAGTTGTTCAGTAATCAATGTGTGTGTTGTGATGTCTGAAAATATATATATATTTTACAAAGTTATCCCTAAAATTGTTATTTAAATAAGGGTAAATTGCTGAAACCTCCTCCAAAGTTTCTGGTTGTTGCTGAAATTTTTCCTAAAGTTTAGTAATTGCAATCACCTCCCCTGAACTTTTTGACATAATTGCAATTAGATTTCCTTTCGTAGAATTTTTTAAGAAGTATGAAAATGTCTAAAATATCCATGCAATTACTTTTAACAAAAATGTTTGCTTTCCAAATTCTCTTCATATGAATCACTACCCCAAACCTTTCAACTTTTCTGAAATTGATTTATTTTCCAAATTTGCCCTTCAACAAAACTGTAACTTTAAATTCTCTAAAAGTTTGTATTATTTTTTTTTTTGTAGAAATCAACCTCAATAATAACTGCATGGATATTTTGGATATTATCATACCTTTTTTGTCTAAGGCCCCAACATTGATTCACTTCATCAAGTTGAAGCGAGGAATCATTCTCTGGTAATGGATCAGCCTGCAGAGCTCCTCTTGTAGATTGATTTCAACCTCAAAGGCGCCAATTCCTTTTAGTTGAAACTTGAAACGCTAGCTTCTCGTTGACCCTTGAAGCGTTCTTTGCATCCCAGAAATTGTTGAACTTCTCTTTGTATTGGGCCACGAACTTTTGCTCAGACAAAGAAGCTATAGGCACGATTGAATCAATGCTTGGGTTTGTAACTTGGGTCATTTTCTTTCTACAACTCAGCACCAATCTCAAAAGATCTCGCTGGCCAGATTTGGTTGTCAATCGACGGTCTAAGAGGGAGGGAGAAAGAGAGAAACAAGAGGATCGAATCTCTTATGTTTGTCAGCATACTCTTCTTGTTTTTATAGCATTCAAACATGAAGACGATGAATAGTTGGGTCTTTCAAAATAATAAAGGGCATGAATGGAAACCATTTTTCATTTGCTACTTCTGAACACATTGGAGGTAGCTCAATGTTTGAAGAGTTTAGAGGAGTTTTCAATGTTCGGATGATTGATTCGGAGGTGCAACAGAATGCCCTCTAACCTCTGAAAAAGTAAGATTTTCAACATTAAATTCATGTTTTGGTAGGTGCCACAACACCTCTACAATCTCTTACAAGTCTTTGAAGGCTCAAGATTGAACTTCATTCTACCACTAACATGTGTTGTTACTTGGATCTATAACGAGGATCATAATCTTCTTGAACTAAATATCCAAGGAGGAGGTTGCTTTTGGACAAATAAGAGAATCATAGGCCATATCTAGAGAATTTTAGATAGAGCCATTCTTTCTCTAGATTGGCTTCAACTCTTCCTTGATAGTTCTTTGTCCTTGGGTTTTAAATGGGGTTCGGATCATCATCCTCTAATTCTCAACTTGTACCCCAAACTTCACAGCCTTCCTAAGCCTTTTAAATTCTTTGAAATGTGGCTCTCGGAAGATTCTTGCAGAACTGTGATTGAAGAATGATGGCACTTTCAAGTGTAGGGCCACGCTGCCTTTCGAGTTACTAAGAAATTGGATGAAATTAAGAAACAATTGACTCATTGGCGGAAAAATCATTTCATTGATCCCAAGATTAAGATAGATTTGCTTGAAAGACAAATCATTCAAGCTAAACAAACTGGAGATCATATGTTAATTCAAAGATTGTACAAAGAGTTGGAAGTTTCCTCCTGGCAATTAAAAATTTTTGGAGACAAAAATCTCGCCAAAATTTTTTGGAGACAAAAATCTCGCCAAAATTGGCAATTAAAAATTTTCCACAATAGTGCTCTTTGTCGTAGAAAGAAAAATTTTATAGAAGGCATAAAAGACAATAACAATCATTGGAAAATAGAGCACCATGACATTGCCACTATCTTTGTAGATTACTTCTCAAATCTTTTCTCTACTCAGGGTACCCAGGACATTGAAAACCTAAGCTCTCTTTTCCCCCAATAATCTCCTAGGAAGAAAACTCTCTGTTAATGAGCATCCCCACTGAGGAAGAAATTAAATCAACCCTTTTCAGCATTGGAAGTCTTAAATCCCCGGGTCCATATGGGATGCCTACTTTGGTATTTAAGGAATGTTGGGGGTTTATGGGCCCTGAAATTATCCAAGTGGTCCAAGAGTTCTTTAGGAATAAGAAATTACTTAGGAGAATCAACTATACCTTTATCTGTCTTATTCCTAAAAAGGTTGATTGCACTAAAGTTCAAGATTACAGACCCATCAGCCTTTGTAATGTTACCTATAAGATTATAGCTAAACTAATTGCTTCTAGGTTTCAGACCCTTCTAGATAAATGTATTGCACCAAATCAAGTAGCTTTTGTTCCTGGCCGTCACATGTCTGATAATACTATCTTAACCCAGGAAGCTTTTCACTATCTGAACACAAAAAGATGGGTATTGGCTACCTTGCTATCAAATTAGACATGTCCAAAGCCTATGATTGCTTGGAGTGGAATTTTCTCTTACAAATTATGTCTTCTTTAGGGTTCTCTGAAGATTTTTGTCTTTTGATAAAGGAGTGTATTTCTATTGTTTTCTACTCTATCCTTGTTAATGGCTCCTCGGAAGGACATTTTCACCCTACTAGAGGCCTTCGACAAGGAGACCCTCTATCGCCTTATCTTTTTATCCTTGCTATGAAGGGTCTAAGTCGTCTCCTCTACCAAGCAGAACCTGAGAACCAACTCAAAGGAATTTCTCTAGCTACAAACTCCCCTTCCTTCTCCCACCTTCTGTTTGCTGATGATGTGATGCTTTTTCTTAGAGCCCACAGAGAGGATCTAGATAATCTGCAATCCATCCTATCCAAATTCCAACAAGCTTCTAAGCAACTTATAAACTTTGAAAAATCAAGCATCTTTTTTAGTAAGAATATCCACCCACGACACCAACATATGATCAAAAGGCAGCTTCATATAGGCTTTTTAAACCCAAATTCCAAATATCTTGGCATCCCTCTGATTTGGTCACGGAATAAACATAATCAACTCAATTACATTCTTGACACTTTAAAAGCTAAATTAAATAGGTGGAGAGCCTCTATTATCAGTCACGCGGGAAAAAAGATTTCAATTCAATCAGTTCTTCAAGCTGTCCCAATTCATACCATGAGTCTGATCCAATTCCCCCAGAAGACCATTAGTCAAATCACAAAAATAGTTAAAGACTTCTGGTGGAATACCTCTATGCCCGTAGACACTGTTACCACTGGTGTTCTTGGAATATCTTGACTTTGCCTAAATCTCTTGGTGGACTAGGTTTTAAAAACTTAACCCTGGTCAATCATTCTCTCTTGAAGAAAGTGGCTTGGAACTTTCTAAATGAGCAACATAAACTCTGGGCCCAAGTCTAGAAATCTAAATACCTTAAAATAGAGTCCATCTTCCCTTATTTTACTCCTACCACAGCCTCTGTTTGTTGGAAATCTATTTGTCCTAAGTTAAAGGAATTATCTTCAGAAGTTGGTTATTTGGTTAATGAAAATTCTAATGATTCACTTTCCCAAGTGCCTTGGATTCAGTCTGATCTCTCCTTTCACTGGATTCCTTTCCAGGTGAGAAATCTCCTTCTTTCAGCTTTGATTACAGATGGTCATTGGAATCGAACTTTAATTCAGCAACATTTCACCCAGGAAGAAACCATCAAAATTTGCCAAACTCCTATATTTCCTTCTACTAATGAACAACATTGGATTTGGCTTCCTCATAAGTCTGGGTATTTTACTGTCAAAGAAGCTTATAAAGCTAAACAAACTCCTTTTATCCCTATTATCCCAGACAATGTGAAACATTGTTTTATCAAAATTTGGAAAGTTCCTATACCGCCAAGATATCAGTTGTTTCTGTGGAGACTCTTCCATAATTTTCTCCCTATCCGAAGCATCATGTTTAAATACCCTTCAGACAAAACTTGTCCCCTCTACAACTAGGCTGAAGAATCTGTCATTCACCTATTCATTGCTGTTTTGCTCGAGCAATTCTTTTTGGAAATCCTTGGAATATTGATTTCTCCATCATTCCTCATCAAGCTTGAGAAACTTTTTTCCATCATCTCAGCAATCAAATCCAAGATAATCACCTCTTGCGCCTCATTCTAAGTTGGTTTGCCATTGCTTGCTACTATATCTAGAATGCCAAAAATAAGAGAATTTTTGAAAACACCCAGACCTCTTCTATGCGAACACTCTCTACAATCAGTAAAATTTTTCATCATTCATCTGCTTCTGGTACTGTAGAAGATTCAACTTCCTTAATTGTGCATAACATACCTTTTAATTTCTCTATTCACACTAATACTGAGTTAATTGTTTTCACAGATGTAGGTAAAATTCCCGACTTTTTATTCTCCTTTGGTATTGTAATCTTAAATACCAACCTGCATTGTCTCAAAATTATAGGAGGTCGAACTTCTTATCCTTCTTAGGTTGATCAAGCTGAATTGTTTGCAATTATGCAGGTCTTTTTGGAACTCCGAAATTGGAATGAAAGAAACAACTGCCTATGCTCAGATAATCATATCGTTGTTCAAGCATTGGAAAAGACTGCAACACTCCCTTGGTTCTACCAATGGCTTTTGCAAAGGACCAAGCTTTTAATTTCCTCATTCCAATTTCATGTAAATCTTAAATATATAAACGGAACTTTTAACCTTCCTGCCCACACAGTATCCCAAAAAGCAAAAGTTGTACTTCAAGACTATTTTGATTACAATGACTATTTTGAAGGGATACCTCTTGTGGAGCATTTTGTAAATATATTTCCCTTTTACTTGCCAAAAAAAAAAAGATTTCGGTGACCTACAATCAGAGAAAATGTCAAAGAGCCTGGAGTTTGTCCTTGGAGTTGAGTCTCCAACGTTTAAGTTAAGCGAGATGGACACCAAGAAAGATTAGTATGATGAGGCAGAGTAAAGCAATATGTGGTAATTGAAGATGGCATACCTTGGATTTTAGGGGTTTTTATTGTTCAATCCATCCCAACAAATCTTAGCCCCACCCTACAGGTAGGATGAATCCTGACCATGGATCGATGCCAAATCCATGGACAGGATGCGGTTTATAGGGGGGCTACTAATAGACTAGGAAGAGGCTGTAATTTCATATTTCTAGGGTGGAGTACAGTCTACTTATCCTTGGATTTTATGCCCTGCATAAAGGGACCTGATTGAGGGAGTAACTATCTCTTGATCAACCTTTCGCCCAAAATGGTCACCATAACTCCCCGTTACTTGGCCATCGGTTCCGACATAAATGTAGTCATTACTAATTGTGTCATGAATCAATGAAATGAGTGGATCTATTCCTCAGAGCACTCCTCACACCAACCTCACAGCATATTCCAGCCATACATCAGAAACATCTCATGCTCTTGTATGTTATTATTCATGGGAGATGTTTCCGATGGTGGGATGTGGCTGTGAGGATGGTGTTATGAGAGTGTCTTTTGATTAGTGGTTAACTACCACTTTGCCCCTAACATTGTGCTAGACAGTGTCTTTTGATTAGTGGTTAACTACCAGGGACCCATGCGATGTGCGGGCTTTATTAAGTGAAAGCTAAATAATAGAAACACATAAACTATCGTTTTATATTTTAAATTTTAAAATTGTTAATAATTATTTATATTTTATATGCTACTTTTAATAACTTTTTATAATACAAAAATAAAAATAGTTAATTTCAAATAGAGCTTTAAATCAAACCATTAAAGTTAACCAAGTGGACCAAACTGACTCGAGTTGGTCAGTTTTCTAGTATTTCCAATCATCTTCGGTTCAAAAATTTCCCAATAATTATAATAGATTTCATAAAAATTATAATTAGATTTCATTG